GGTGGTGGAGGGCGAGGAGGGCGTGGATAGTTCGTGAAAGCCACGAGTCGACGTCGACGCGATTTGCGATCCGCCGGGACTCGTCCAGACGAGTTGCGATCCGTCAAGGCGCCGCCAGACCGGCCTGCCGATGGTTGCGTAGTGCTGCGTCAGCGGAGCCGCCGACGAGGCGTTCGATAGGGCGAGGCGACTCGGCATGCACACGTACACAGACGGCAGCGGCGACGGCGACGGCAACAGCGACGGCGACGGCGACGGTGACGCCGAAGCGGGCGAGGAGACGGACGTCGACGCCGAGGCCATCTCCGTGGTGAGAGGAAGAGGCGCAGAGCAGAGCCAACCATTGACGTGGAGCGTGGCCGTCGACGTGTTCGTCGTAGCCGTTGGTGACAGCGGAACCAGTTGACGACCGGCCGGCTTGCAGACATCGCCGCGGGACGAGGAGAAGAGACAGTCAGTCGAGGTGTAGGCATGGTAGAAGGGAATCAGATCGCCCGTCAACAGGCACTCGGGCCGGGCAGGTGGGCAGTCGGCCTCAGGCAGATGACAGACGAGGCCTTAACCGATGGGGGGGGGGAGAATACAACTGGTATATCTAATTTACTGGTAGCCTCGATAAACTACTCAAATCGAAGTATAAGTAGTGTCGTCGATTGTTATAGCAAATATAAGCTTGCTTCATCGACGATCTCAACACCGAATATGACATGGAAACATGCAAGACATTCCTTGAAATGCACATCTGCAGGCTGCACTGTCATAGTTCGACGCTCGCTTGCGATGTTGCTAAGACGAGTTGATGCGAGGTCGAAACTGTAGTTCACTCCAACCGGGATGAGAACACCTTTTTGGCAAACAAGGCCTCGTGAAATTCAGTAGAAACGTTAGCTCTACTCATCAGATTGTGGGAAAAGTCAACTTCCAGTTCTTCATCACCTTAAACAAAATAGAGTGAATACAACTCATAAATCCAATTTACTGGTAGTTTGATAAACTACTCAAATCGAAGTATAAGTAGTGTCGTCGATTGTTTTAGGAAATATAAGTTTGCTTCATCGACGATCTCAACATAGAATGTGACATGTAAACATTCAAGACATTCCTTGAAATGCACATCTGCAGGCTGCACTGTCATGGTTTGACGCCCGCTTGCGGTGTTGCTAAGACGAGTTGATGCGAGGTCGAAACTGCAGTTCACTCCAACCGGGATGAAAACACCTTTTAG